AGGATTGTTTTACAAAAGGCCAATTAGTGAGATATTGCTTACTGCGCCTGTTGTTAAAGCTGAAAGTTGAATTGTTAATGAAGACAGTGAGGTGCACCCTTATTTCTTATGTTGAGATGTAAGGTCAGAAACACTTTCACACTGTAGACACTGTAGTATGATAATATTAGTAATAGTCCAGTAGGGTCCACTGTGTAAATTAAACACGTGATGTGGAAAGGAGACATGTTGTGTGTCCAGAAGTTTAACTTTTTAAACAAGAAACATTAGCATATTCACAGATTCTGGACTTTTTATTGAGTAAGACAGAGTAGATGTGCTTTAAGGATTTTATAGCCAAGAAACAACCAAGAGCAAAGCCTCTGTCAAATTGAACTGCCAGGTTTATGCACTGTAGCACATGCTGCGCACGTTTTCATCAGTTATCTTTCGGCAGCCACCATATTGCTCCCATATTTCTCTAGAAAATGCTTGTTGCAAATGTTTAGTGATATCCAACATAACACACCAGAACTCATAATTGGGGACTGGTATGGCCCAGACCATCATGGAAACTCTGGGAGATAACTACTGTAAATGCCAAAATAGTATTTACTGGAGCTGCATGTTGAACGAAACACAGAAAAATACATTCATTATTCTTGACCTTGGGATCAAAATGAGACAAAATAATATCAAATCAAGGACCACTTTTTATCTTTTACACCAACATAACATAAAAGCCAAATTCTGAACCTTCTAAAATGTCTAAATATTTTGATGCCATGCACTGTAATTTTGCAAAACACAATGCAGCAAGACTATAACATCCAGCAAAGATACCAACAGCAGATGTATGGCCCTGGGTTTTATGCTGAATCATCACAGTTAAACATTGCTCTGTTTTCTATCAAGTATCGGGAACCAGAGAAGCCTTGGAGGATTAGCTAATGCACTCGCAGCACCCTCCCTTTTACAGAGCCTCTCATCCAGACACTCAACACCTGACATACTCAGCAAAGCACTCAGTGACAGAAAAGCAAATCCACGTTCAAACAAAAGCAAAACAATCACAGGATGGTAAAGAGCAAGGTGACAACAGGCCATAAGATCTGATCTCTTTTCAGGGTTAAAGTGAAAAAATCCACCTTGATTTATTCTGTTTTTAATCTCTCAAAAAGTTACTTATCTCGGCAGGCTGGATAAATTATTGTCGCACTGTTCTGTTTAACGTTCCTGCACAGACGGACATGGTCCTGTTTGGTGGTGTTTATGGTCTGGACCCTTGTAGAGAGGGGCAGATGACAAAATTTTACGTGCTGTGAGGCTGTACTTTGACACAGCTGTGCTTTGAGCTAAATGCTAACGTCAGCATACTAATATGCTCACAGGGACAATGCTAACATGCTGATTTCACGTGTTAGCATGTTAACCTTTGCTAATAGACGGGGCTCTGAGCGATGTCATCAGTGAGATGTGTGCGCAGGCATGGGGGCAGTAAATGACCCAAAAATGACTGAGGGCTCGAGACGAGATCAAGATGAAAAGTTGTTTTTGTGCCTAAAACTGCACAAACTGCAGAAATAATGAGAGGAAAATGTTCATTATCTCAAGAAGGAAACTTGCCCGTTAGCCCAGAGTCCAGAATTAGCTCCAGTGAACTGGTCAGAGCTCTGGATTTTATGAAGGCTGTGGATGGTTTGACACTGAAACTGCAGGAATAATCGTATTTTAAGATCAGACAGCTCACACTGCTACTATGTGTTTAAGGCTGTTTAATGAACACTGCCAACTCTGTGTTATTCTGCTTCTGATGGAGAAGAAGACTAATGGCTTTATATGGAAAATACATCACATTGTTATGCTTATACTTTTCCAGAAAAAAAAAAAACGGATGAAAAAGTCAAACAGACAGAGTCTCTGTTGAGACCTGAGATCCTGTATGGCTGATCAATGATACTGATTAAATCCTGTATTGACACAGGTTGTCAGGATTGAGGCTCTGCCTGTTTACACTGCAGTCAACTCCAATACGAGTTTTTGCAGTGACTGTTTTTTGTAGTGTCTAGAGCAGGAATTCAATACATGCTAATGTTCTAAATAGGCTATAATAAACACAATGTGTGTGACTGTATACGCTTAACTTGTGCAGAAGCAAACAGCATGACAATGTTGTGCTCTGAAGTTGTCAGTTGATGTTTTTGGACACACACAGGTCATTTCTCTCTACCTGTGGAGCTAACATTGTGCAGCCTACAGCCTCATTTAGCTTTATCACATCTATAGCTGCTGTCTCTCACTGGAATATGTGACACATTAGCTGCTGTAGTTAACAGACGTCTGTGAAAGGTGGCATCTGGTTGAAATCAAGGTATGCAATGCAAGAATGTGTGTCGCATACAGGTTTACCTCTAAACAGCCATTTCACTGGTTTCCAGCAAGCTGCTTTATCTAGTGGAAATGTCCACATATACACTATATATTGGAGGCTGATGGTAATGTCATTAGTTTTGCAGGTATTTGGTCATGAACTGGACAAACTGAAATTTTGACCTGATTACCTGACATTTTACTCAAAACTACAAAATATTAAAGGTTCATATTCAACACCTGATTCAAAAATAAGAATCAAACTAGGTTTCCTGTATAGGATTAAAGATTCTCTGTCTTCTTCCAGGTGTATTGTAAAGTCAACCCTCATGTCTGTCTTTGATTATGGAGATATTCTGTATTGTCCTGCTGCCCCATCAACACAGTTAAACCCTGTGTATCATAGTGCACTACGCTTTATCGCCAATGACAAGTACCATACTCATCATTGTTCTCTAAATCACACCGTGGGTTTGACCTCCCTTCAGTCAAGAAGAACTAGGCATCTAATGTTATTGTTCTTGATTCTTTGTTTCATAGTTTCTTGTATTGTGTAGTTGTGTTGTCTTCGTTGTTGATTGTGTCTTTGTGATTGCTTCTTGTTCTCAGGTCTCTCTTGAAAAAGAGCTCTTAATCTCAATGACACTGCCTGATCAAATAAAGATCAAATAAAAATGAAAATAATAAATGTCGACCTCATGGTGGAGCTAGAGGAAAAGTTTCATGTCTGTGTGCAATTTCATGGAAATGCATCCAATAGCTTTTGCGATATATCAGCCTGGCCCAAAGTGGTGGACTGATTGACCAACGTTGCTGCCATCCCTAGAGCCATGCTGTTGGCGTGGATGATAAAAAATGGTGGTAATTCTCTTTGTTACTTTGAAGCAGGGGAACAGATGTTAATCTTTTTAAACTTTATTTGATAGTTGACAGTGAAGCCAGGCAGGAAATGTGGAAAGGGACAAAGGAGGATGAAACGTATCAATTGTCTCCAGCTGGAATCAAACTGGGTACTTTTGGGGCTTAGACCACAAAATCCCAGGGATACCCAATAATGCAGCTTAACTGATTAAAGAATATTTCACTAACACTGATGTATTGACTGACTCTGCTGATTAATTACCTGGCTAATTGGTTTGTTTCATTATTGGATTTTTTCCCCCCACAAAGTGCTTTAGTGATCAATGCACCGTCAGCATTTTTGCAGACATTCCTGTGGAAAGAGGTCACTGTGTCCAAGTCATTAAATTTGGACCGGGACCAAAAGTACTATACCGAATGTAGAAATGCACTGACAGCAGAATGATCCAACTGAAAAACATCAATATCATTTATTAAGCACACATTATACCTGTACATTAGCAAAATGTCTCTTCCTTGCATCTTTTCTCGATCTCTCACCTTTCCCTCGCACACAAAAATAAAGTAGGCGTGTGCAGCCTCCATTATTTATCTTGCCTGGAGATGCAGTATACCACACACTCTCCGTCCTATACAGTATCTATAAAACATCTCTCCTGCACAGGCAGAGTACAGACTCACACGCACACAGGCAAACACCCACACTGTCAAATATATTCCCAAAGTCCGCAGGCAGCATGCAGCCTGACTTCTGCGGAGTAAAGCCAGCATCCAGTGCAATGCAGTTGATTTAAGAATTCATGGCGCAGACACGAGGCACAGCAGCTTTGCAGAACGAGGCAGCGCTTGCATCCTGTGCATCCCAATGAGGAGCCGGGGCTCTGCTTCAACTCCATATCCCAACTGTAGCCACCTAACACCTCAGTAACCTGGACAACAACAGCTCAGCATCACGGTCACGACTGACCGGTATGTGTGTGCAGCTGCTACAGTATAACTAATGGTGCTACTTTCCTGCCTTTCCCCTTGAAGCTATAGCTGACAAGGAAGATGAATTACAGGGCTATAATGAGGACTAATTAGGGGGCAAATAATAGCTAAGATAATATTCTAAAGGATAATACCTGAAGGCTTTAAAGGACAAAAGTCTCATGAAAAAAAAAAATTTTAGTCTTAGTTCTTGGCAAAATAGCCTTTCTCTTTCTCTCTTGCCTCAAATGTTGCCAACGGCTGGCTTAAAATTTGGTTGATGATGTCGCATAAAAACCCCATAACGCACTAACTTTTATAATAACATTATAAGGATTATGAGAAAATTCAGCCTATCTTGTGCCTATAACCTCAAAAATTGCATTTCTGTCCTGAGAAGGTGACATTTTGGAGATACAAGGTTCTCACTTGACAGGTGCATTTTTAGTATATGGCTAGACCCACTACTGGTGCTGCTGCTCGTGTCCTATTTCATCTGCAACAGTCCTTTTCTACAAGCAACTAAGCAACAAATGGTGAACAGGTTTCTAAAATCCTGATTGTGGCACTGTCAAAGACTTGGCCACATGTTTTTTAATAAGTCATGTCCTGAGAGGTTTTTAAAAGATGGATGCGGAGATAAAGAAAGAGGGAATGCGTAGCTGTTTGAAGTCAGTAGTTTGGTGCAGGATGGATTATCGCTTCGCAGTGTCCACATAACTACCAGGCCAATACTAGAGCAGTACTGCTGCTAAACATCCCTTTAAATCCTTTACACTGCAGTGCTGTTAAATCAACCTCCAGCCCAACAGACTACTCACCTCCCAGCGCAGCTTTCATTACAAAATTCATGATGAAGCAGTTCTGTGTTCTTTTCCTTCAGTGGTCACGTTATCAGGGACAGACCTGCAGCCAGGGGACAGAGAATACACAAGCTGTGACTGTATGAATACCACTGTTAGGACATGCAGTTTCACTCCAGTGGGTTTCATATACAAGAGTTTGATGGGATGGGGGAGGAGGATGATGATGATGATGATGAGGCTCGATTCGGACAAGAAACGACCTCCAGACGGAGATCCTGGTTTGTCAAAAAAACCACCAAAACAATAATCGCAATATCTTCATATACATTTTAATTCTACTTCCTGAATGGTATAAATAAATCTTAAACACCCTCAAAATGTGATCAGCTTTATTCCCAGGAACAACAAAGGTGACTAAACTGGGTTAAGATGGCTTTGCCCTCCAGAACCACATCGTGTCCTGAGTTTTGTCAAGGCACCTGCGCCCTCGGTTTACAACCGCACTCCATCTTGTGTGGATTTATGCTGACGTTGCCTGACCGACTGTGATGTATCCTCATGGAAATGACTCCCAGAATTAAATAAAAGACAAAAAGGGGGAGGGGAGGGGGGACAACGACAGGGTCAAAGATGAGCAAATGAAGACATGGTTTCTGTCAGTACACGAGCCTTAGAGAGCATTACCTCACACAATCTGCAAGAGCGTTACATGACAAGACAAAGGGCAATTTTTTAAAGATGCTCTGCTATCTTACATTGTCTTACAGTGTATCTATGGCTCTTATGTGTGAGTTCACAATAGGCATTACGGCATTTTATTTCCTATGTTATCACTATAGTAATTCTGTTGTATTTGTTTTGGGATTTATAGTGACTCAGGACTGCTCAATAGTGAATATATAACTTTATGTGGAAATTGCCTTGTTTCTGTCACATTGCTGCTGGGACTTTGTGTCCAAGGTGCTCAATTACAGACCTTGACCTTATGGTAATTAACAAATATGGGCTATATCTTATGATATAATTTATTACTTCATTAATATGCGATATTTCAATGGGAGCTGTACTGCTCAAAACCCAGTTTATGGCGACCTTACTGCACTTTATGATTTTTTTTTTTTTTTTTTTTTTTTTTTTTACATTTTCTTTTCACGACATAACAAACCCACGGGTAGTTTTGCTGCATTTTAACAGCATCCCTCTGCAGAGCAGGCAAGCAGAAAAAAAATCCTGCTGAAAACTTGCTGCTCTCATTATAGCGCTGTTTCGTCCGCGGGTCATTTTCATTCGCCCCAAGTCGAGTCTGCACCAGCCGAGCGTCTTTAAATCATTTCCTGGTTCCCTTCCCCTCCATCATCATCATCATCTGCAGCAGCATCAGTTTCTCCTCACATGAACCCATACAGTATTAACTCACTGCTCCTGGCGCGGTGCAGCATTTCGGCGCAATTACGGTGGTGTACGTTCTCTCTGTTAAATGTATTTATTTACCCACCATAGCCTGCATGCACATATGCTGTTTTCAGAAGTCAGAACGCTGTATGCACAATAGGCTGTTTTTAGATCAGCATCAGCATCTTTCACCAAGTGCACCAACCTATCTCCATCCTGTCCCGTACAGACACGCTGCACACCAACATCTCTGTCTTAGGTTTGTTCGCACATCGTTTACCTTGTTTTGATCCTCCTTCCAAGTCTTTATCCCTCTCGAGAAAAAAAAAGCCTCGTCGCAATGCAATAACCACCTGAAATTTTTCGCCTTCTGCGGTGTTGAAAGAAAGCACAAGTTGTGCGTCTGAAAGGACGGATTTGTGCTTCTCTCTCTCGCTCTCAGTTTGCAGACATGCCGGTTGTGTCAGAGTCAGGCTGCAGCGGCGGAGGAAGAGGCTGAATTCCCTGCAGGAGGAGATGAGAGCATGCAGAGGGAGAGAGGGGGAGGGAGGAGGGAGCACATCAATGTAATAGCACCTCAGTGAAGGTTCTATTCAGTTTTTCAAAAAATTCAACAAATGACATGAAACAATTTAAAAAAAAAAAAGTACTTTAATGGCGTCAAGTGTGCAACTTAATAATTGTCACAAAGGACAACATGCAAGACAAACATCAATTGAGCATTTTCATAAAATGTGCAGTCGATCTTATTTCAAGAATCCAAAGTCTGCAAGGTTCAATTTTATTTTGTACTGTCTCATGAGAGACAAAGTTTAGTTTCCTCTGTTAAAATGACATATAATATGCAGATTTAAAGCATGATTATTCCATTTTTTTTTTTTTTTTTTTGCCACGAAGGGACAGCAGGACAGGTTGTAAGCACAATATTGACATGTAATGTTGCAGGGTCCGTGTTAGCAAGCAGTTGCTGGACATTATTTAGATATCCAGTAGATGCAGAGAAACACAAGCATTCATTTGGAGTCATGTTTCTAGACGCCTGCAAACATAAGTCCAAGATTCACTCTCCCTTTAGCTCTGGTTCGGTCTCCATCAGCTTCTGATAAAATAATATCAGGCTCTCTAGCTCTTAATGCTCCACCATTTTCACCAGCTAACGCCTGTTTGTTGTTTGCTGCTGAGCAGGTGGTGTACAGTTGGTTTATCAGATCTATTCGCTGAAAACAGATGCCTGCATTTTGGAAACCTGGTTGATGCGAGCAGTGAGAGTGAAGCAAAACAGTGAAGCTGTGGGATATAAAACCAAAACAATGAGCTGAAAGACACTATAGAGCTGACAGGAAACTTAAGAGTCCGGTGTTAATTCTCTGTGGGTTTATCACGGTACAAATACCTTTCACATTGCATGTTGTCATTTGGTACACTGTCGATATAAAAATATCTGAGCTGATTAGAAAACACATCTCAGAGAGTAGCAGACATTTTGTTCTTCAGCGTTTGCTATTAACATTTTGTTGTGTTCCACTGCTTGTTTAAGGCAGTTCTTGTTTTCTTCTTTCTTCTTCTTCCTGAAAAATACCTCACTGACAGACCATCATCTCTATTCTATCTCTTTCTAAAATCAGAGGTGACAATGAGAAGGCTCTAAAACAGTTACAATAATAAGAGGCTTGGGAAGATAGTGTTCAGGTTTCTGGCAGGTAATCAGGCCTTTAAGATATTTTAAACCCTTTTTTATCTCATCTGCGGCTGCAGGGATCTACTGTAGTGTAATGTCAGCTGTCCTCGAAGATTCCCCCCAAAATATTTTCTTGGCAGGTTGGAAAAGACTCTGCTGATGCTACAGCACACCAGAGAAGTCAATATTAGATTTTGTTCATTCTTTCCCCTGAATGGATGCATCACCTGTTGTGTCCTCTTTTTCTTTTTTATTATTATACCTTGAGTTTTATTTTCATTTGGGTTTTGTCAATCCTTCCTATCTGTCATATAAATAGACCTAATATACAAGTACATTGCTGTGATCTAGATGGAATGTGCATCACTAAATCCAGTAGCACAAGCAACATGCATGATCAGATCACAGAGCTTGTAAAAAACTCAAAAGCAAACAGAGTTTTGGCCTGAGGTATCCATTCAATTTCCCTGTATTTCCTCGTAGCTGTACGTACATTTTTTATTTCTCACCATTTATTCACATGGTTAAACATGAACTCAGCAATTCACTTTGTAAGAAAATGTCATCACAACTAAATGAGATGACAAAAAAACAACCAAATCTATGTTTGAAATTAATTGGTAAAGCTGGCTTGACTGACTATTGGCCACTAGGGGGAAGAAATATTCCAAACCAACCTCACAGCAACAAAGTCCTGATATGCTATTAGCATACAAAGGTGTTTTGGCTAATGATATGGTGCTATGGTTAGCAAACAATGACCTACTTTTACATCCAGCACAAACAGAGCAACACAAGCAGATGGAGGGCAAACATATAGGACAAAGAATATGGTGTTTAACACTTTAACCTAGCCTTGTTTCTGATGCTATACCAAACCTCTAGCTCTAAAATAAACCTTTTCTATCTTTTTCCTAACCTAGTAACATTGCTGCACTTTACACACTGAGTGAGGCAGACAGGTCGAGAGGGAGCACACAGGGGGACTGAGGGGAGCTTAAACTGCTCCATCTCCCATCAATTAATCAAGACATAGGAGGCTGCGTCCGCTCAGCACCCTCTGGGACAAGCATCCATCACCTTGTTTATAGCCTAGAAAGGCTTCGAAACAACATCAGCATGCATACTTACACACACACACACACACACACACACACACACAAACACACACACCATTGTTGTCCTCTAACTGTCCACCAACACTACTGTCATATATTTTATTATTTTTTTATATACCTATTATTTATGATCTCTTGGTTTTAGGGTCAGAAGTTTTTGCTCTTGACCCATATCCACTTTTGTTTCAAGGTATCACAGAAAAAAACTCTAATCATGTATCTTAACACTTATGTTGTCTTATAGTTATCCCGTTCAGACCAAAGCTTTTACATTAAAATGTTAAGTTTTCCATTGCTATAAACTACATTGTGGTTTTAACAGCATTTCACTTTGGGCTTCTGTGAACACTCTGCACTTTGAATATCACAATGTGCAAACAGCCGGGTAATCTGGCACTCTATGTGCCATCTCTTTGTGTAATGTGATATGTGTATTTTATTTTTCTTTGTTACTCTCACGACAGGAATTCAAACAGCTGTATTTTCCTTAATACTCTGCATGTCAGCAAGTGGCCTATGTCCAAGTAATGAGTCACCATGAATATGTGCCAAAATAAAAGTTAAAAAGCTATGACTAAGATACTGGAATGAACACACTCTGAATACACTGAATGTACTGATGGTGTGGCCACCTATGAAACACACAATTACAATGAATGCCATTTGATGACTGCATTAGCATTTTAAATCAAAATATGTATGGCAGAGCTCCACAGGGACTGCATGCCATTCAAAAAGGGCAAATTAACATAGCACTGCTGTCACATGAAAACACTGCTGTAGTGCTGGTTTTCTTGCTCTCATCAAGCTATTTTTATATTAGGTGAATACATATTTCCACCATTTTAATTCATGTAAAGGTTGAGGAGGGTCACATTTTGGAACTACAAACTTTGAGCCAAGAGAAGTGATGATATAACAAGACTAACACAACATGGGTTCACAATGACTGACGTTGTGCTTTCAGCAACTTTATTTCGAACAAAGATGTAATTTATTTTTCAGTTATTCACTCAGGCTTTTTCTCACTATTTGACTCCTCACTAAGTTAAATCTACAGAGAATCTACAGAGTTAAATTTAAAAATTAATGCTTTTGAACAGTTAAACAAGACTAAGAATCTTCAGCCATGCTAGCCGCTTTGTGGCTTCACCAGTTTTTCTTTTTCTGCGTGTTAGCATGCTAATATTTTCAGCTATCCCTAACAGAAAGTACAGCTGGGGCTGATGGGAATGTTTTGAAGGTATACCGAATACTGACCAAAAGTGGTGGACTGACCGACTAAACAATCAACATTACCATCCTCAAAGCTGCGCTGCTAGCATGGTTAGCAGCAGTATCTTCCTCACTGCTAGAAACTGATCAGCTAAAACATTCAAAATAAAGAAACAATAGATATGAGTATTTGATAAAATTAATTGACACCAAATGCAGTGAACTGTTACCTCCAGTTAGTGATCATAGTCAAATCACTATATCCCCTACCATAGTTGTATTATATTTTAGGGACACAAATTTAGTGGCAGTAGAAAAAATAATAATTTCGTATGGCCATAATGAAAATGCTTACCCGCATCTGAACCACTGAAGCTGTTGCCCTGGGACAAAGAGGAGCTGATATTGAAATAGGGCAGAGTATTGAATGCTGAACTTCTGCCTTTCGTCACAGCTGCGGTCAAATGAGAGGTGGATTATGTCACAGGACAGCAACTTGGCTGCCAGTGTGCCATTTCTTGAGGCAGGATGTGACAAAAAGGCAGCGATTTAGGTCTGCAAATCCTCTCTGCATTCTTGTGAGTGCATTTATTACCTGCTATTAGTAGCGTAATATAAACCTTTTTGCTTGATTGGTACATCTGTGTGTTTAATTTGTCAGTGATATTTCAGCTAATATTAGTCTTTTTAATTTTATTTTCCCATAAACATAAGCTAAAGAGATTCATGACTGTGTGGTCTATATATTATCTTTATTATTATAGTCTCTCATCAAGCAGTCACCTCTGTACATATGGCTAGCCGCTTTTGCTGACAAAGGGCCAGTGGTCACACCCCTTGGCCCCTACTGATTCATGAAGTATCAACTACCGAGGCATGCGGTGGGATATATAAGGACTCTGTATCAAATCCCATTCATTGTGATATAATATGCAAGCCAGCAGAATGTCGACTGAGCACCATGGGGACAGAGTCACTTTGAAGCTTTGAATTGTGTGAAGTACATTGAAAGATTATTCAGAGGATGAACCGCATATGCAGTGGCAGCCAAAAACATCCTTCAAAAATAATATTAATCATACACACATTAAGACCCAGCTGGTGAACACACATTTGGGCTTGGAAACAGACATAACCTTTACTAAATGTTTTGGGATTATGGCGGTGGGCTTGACAGTAATCATGGAGCCTGTTAGAATAAAAGCCTAGAAATATTATCCCGTAGATGCCTCATTCAGTTACTTTCTACATACATTCTGTGCATATTTACTCACATAACATTTAGTATTTTCTGTAATGTCAGTAGAAAGCAGTAAGCAATAATAGGCGAAGCAATCAATGTTGCATCATCTTTTCCAGAAAGGTTGTTTGTAATAATTTGCTGGCTTTAGTCTTGCATATGTTGGAATTTTTTTTCTTGTTGGTAAGAAAAAAAAACAAAGCTAATTTAACTGCAGCAGATGTTACTTAAATTTTTTAGCTGTCAT